GGTCCATAAAAATACGGAATTCAGTTTTAGGTAGTGAAAGAGTGAGAAAGAGTGCTGCTGGGTAAGGAAATACTTTTTTTAAAGGTGCACTTATTTGATAAACTTGATAAACATTTGATATAAGCATCAACGAAAGTGTAGCATAACTCCACTATCTTCTATTAATGATAGCTATACATGACTTTTTAAAAAATATTTTGAAGGCAATGCACTTCCGGTATTAGCTTATCTGATTCAAAATTGACGCTCTTATTAGTCGGACTGATGTGGTTTTCCACCAAGACGAGATAATCGACTACATTAGACACACACACACACACACACACACACACACACACACATTATAAGATATGCGATGTATAAGGTGACTATAAACTTCTATAAACTCAGTCATCAATCAATGTGACATCACTGATATCGTAAGTTCCCTTGAGTAACATTCCTTGAATATTGTTCCACAGAATTTCTGCTATTGTTATAAGTTAACAAAAAAAGAACAAACTTTGTTTTGTTTAGAAACTAAGAAGGTGGCTGATAGGCAGTCAGCATGGATTAGGGTGAGATGAAAGCACCTGTCATCAGTCAGAGAGGTTGCTTAGACAGAGATGTCCCTATCAGTGGATCTAATCTAAGACAAGAGGAAACACCTCCCTGCTGAATGTCTCCAGTTTAACAATAAAACCCTTTAACTGCATCCAAATCCAAACATAAGGGTTAATGGGGTCTTGATGTTTTAAGAATATGTCATGTATGCAGTGCTTGATATTGCAGGATAGTGCAGCAAAACAGTTCAGTGAACTTTGAGCTAGAGGTCTTTACATGGGAAGAGGTGATGTTTTCAATCAGTTTGCACAGTGTTTGTAAAGAATTATTTCTTCAGAATTTGAATGTCAGCACATACAAATCAGCATATAGTACATTCAAAGTCGACTCTTCCAAACACTTTTTATTGTAAACTGTGTTGCACGTGTGTGTTGAGTATTTACAGTTGTGGTCATAAGTGCATACACTCATCATGGGCGTTAGTGGTAATTAGGGGCTTTGCATGATTTCTTTGACCTTATACATCAGTTTGTACACACATAAATTAAAAAGAAAAAGTAATATAATCGACACACGATAAACTATATAACTGTGACAACATTATTGTTGTTGTTGTTTGTGAATTTAAATTGGAGCAGTTCCACTCAGTTTCATCATTCATAATCTAAAATAAAGCACAAGTACTTCGAATTTGTTAAATAAACACAGTGTTTGAAAAAAGTTACTCTGTTAGACTTAAGCGTTTTATTGAAGTTTGGAGAAAGGTTAACTAGTGCTAAAGAATTTTCATCCAGCTTTGTGAAAAATTAAAAAAAAAAACATAAGCGACAGCAAATCAGTAAACATGTTTTGACAAATAGGAATTTCACATCTTGGGAATATCCACATTAATATGGTTTGTAGTTCTCTTTTCTGATTTTACAAATAGAAAATTTGTGTTATCAAAACTTTTTTTTGTTTTTGATCTTCCTCCAGGTGAGCAGCCACTAGATACTGCTTACATTACAGACTGAAGGTGAGCTATGTTCACATCAACTAACCAAACACACAAAAATCCATATTTTACGGGCAGCATTTGTATCTCAACAAGAAAAGTGAAATCATGCAAAACACAATAGCTCATATAAGCATTGCAATACATACTAATAGTGTTTTGGGTATGTATTATTTTGTGCTATGCTATTGTATAGATTACAGACTTTTATCAGAAACACTGTAATGCGTAATTCCGTTATTCTATTTACTGTAATCCAGTAATAAAAACAGGTTATATATCATCATATGCGTACCATACATGCACTTATAAGACCTCAATGTACACTGTGTACATATAAAATGTAAATGTATAGAAACAGTCTGGTTTATTCAGTATGATCATGTTTATTCCACTTTAGTGTTTTTCATTGTTTCTATAATGTAAGGGCCACCTGCCAGAATGGACACCTGCATGATGAGCCAGTACAGCTGCCAACAGACTAACATGAAGTGCCACAAATACACAAACATATAGATGACCTCTAAATCTACATTAGACTTGAGTTGGTGGCTTTAATTCTAGTTCATATGATAACAATACCAGGTTCATGCATCTCTCACCACAACCTCGTCTGTGGCCTGACAGACTCAGGAACTTTGTTGTCACAGTGGAAAAGTAACACAATGGAAAATAAAAAGTGGGATGTGTTCACTCATTTGTATGTTTATGAAAAAAGTTTTATAATATTTAGTATAAAAATAGTTTTTTTAAAAAAAGAAAAACAACCAGCTGAAGTTGTTTTTAAGGTTGTTTTGATGCACTACTGCCATCTGTTGGTCATAGCGGTGACATACTGCAATTGGCATGTGACGATAAATTGCCTTAAATTTCAGAATAAATTAGCATCTAAAAAGATAACTTAGTGCTGAATGTATAGATAGATAGATAGATAGATAGATAGATAGATAGGTCCCTGTCAGGACGTTTTTATTTAAAAAATAATTTACATGAAATGGCAACAATTTCCTACAAATATTTCCAGATTTTTTTATTTGCCTTTGTCCTGCTGTCACCTCAGCTGTGTTCTGCACTCTATTCATATAAAATCATTTTAACTGGGACTCGTCAACGTGCAAAGGTAAGCTTTGCTTTGGCTGTCTTTATGTTGGTGATCTAGGTAAGCTTTCTGTATTGATGCTAATATTACAGCTGTAATATTATCGTTGTTTTCTTTTTACTCTGCATTTAAAAAACAATTGTTAATATGTTCAGATGTAAATGTTGTAGGTGTTAGTCTTCTTTTTTCCGCCATAGGTGCTTTTTAAAACAACATACTTTTGTGCATTGTTTGTGAAAAGTATGTTGTTAAACATTTTATTACATATACATATTATATTGTATATGTTATATTATAACATAACATGATGTTATGTTATTTTTATTGTTGTAAGTAACCACTTGTTGATTCACAACAGGCTGTATGTTCAAGTCTTTTCACTGTTACCGATAGAAATCAGTGTTAATCGGTATCCTGATTGGTATTAGGAAGTATTTCTGAGATAGAATGACAAAAAATATTTTACCCGTGGTCAAAGAAATGTTTTTTGATTACAGGGTGGTGGTCCAGGGTTGCGTGGACTTCTTCTTGGGCCTCCCTACTTCTGCTGGGATGGACGTGCAGTTGCTGGTGGTATGTATGGCCTCAGGTTTCCAGTACTCTTGAGGGCTGCTAATGTACCTGTGGGCCGATATGCCAATATTTCTTTTTCGTTGTCAATATTATTACACAGGCCCTGTGAGCGGTGACAGCAGACCATTTGTTAATTTCCATTGCTGACACTGTCCAATCAAATCTCTTAATGTAACGGGCCCCTCCCATACCTTCCCAATTTGTTTGTGCACCTTGTAGAACAACGTTTAGTATTGAAGTGGTTGATACAGATGGACAAAGAAAAGCTAAAATGTTGAAAGAGAAATAGAAAAAAGAAATAGTCAAAGAAAAATGTGCCAAGTTAACTGACCGTTGCACTGTCGGAAGTACGAGTAGTAACAAGCCCTGCTGACACAAGAGGGTGCTGTTTCTAGTGCTACCAAGAAGTACTCTAGGAGGGAAAGCAGCCCCAGAAACAGTGAGGCGGGGCAAGGTATAATTAATATGGACATAACTAAGAAAGGAGGGAAATAAAATTAATAGCAAGTGTGAAGTTTTTAAGTGTCACATGCTGCACTGCAGTGAAACTGAGATGTCCTAACCCAACAGGTGTACCAACATGATTAGGAAGAAATACTGTTTTAGTATCAATATACATATTATTTGTATGGATGTGATATTTTATATATATAATTTTTTTTTTTTAAATTGCACAAATAGTACAAATAGTACATACACTTAACTGGACCATATGCTGTTTTAACCAACTAAAAATGTCAGGGCCAATTTTTATTTATATATTCTTTTTGTCCAGGGGTGGGTGCAGAAGACTGTCAGGGGGGATTTGTGATAGATCGATTGCACCAAGTGAAACTGAAGGTTTACAAGAATGTAGTGTGACTAGATTTGATGTGTAGTTTGGAGGCACTAGCAAAATGACAGAAGGCAGAACTGAAGGTTGCAGAGTTGAAGCTGTTACGATTTTCATTGGGAGTGACCAGAATAGACAAGATTAAACACAGATCTATCAGTGTGAGCTGTTTGGAGACAAAGTTAGAGAGGCAAGGATGGGATACTTTGGCCATGTGGAGGGATAGTGGATATATTACACAAAGGATGTTGAACATGGAGCTGCTAGGGAGAGAGTAAAGAAGAAGACCTCAGGGGAGGCATGCATCATAGAGTTTAGAGTGGTCTTAAAGCCCACAGACCTTCCACAAATTTATCTCTTAAATTAAAAGGTTTTATGTTCTATTATATCTCAATAAAACTTAAACCTCATCAGCTATCATCTACCATTTTAGTTTTTTCGAATCATTTCTGTCAACTTCACAGGATGAAGTGCTGGCTTCTCTGGTGGCTGGTGTTTTTTGTGTCACACCAACCCTCTGCATGTCCTCCCCCAAAAACAGACTGAACACAATGGAAGATCAAAGTTCAGGAGGTCGGGGTTCCTGCGAGGATCAGTGTCAGAAAGGTAGGCTGCTTTCATTTTGTCCGAAGGCTGTTGTTTCCATGCTTCAGGGTGAAATGTCTCACCTACAGATCTTTGTTCTTCTGTAACACGAGTAAATCAGAATGTACCAAAGTTTTCAGGTCAAAATGTGACAGATTCTGTAGGACTCAATTAACTTGAATTTAGTGAAAATGTGCATATA